TTGTGCTTGATAGCACTTAAAATACTTAACTTTATTTCAAAATGATTTCAGCTCAATAAACTTTACTAAGTTTTAGGAGTAAAGAACATGAGATATTATCAAGATAGAAAAAGGATGGACTGTAATTTAGGAAGTCCTAAGTGGGAAAAGGCCTATATACAGTATATCATAAATCAAACTAGGTTGGAATGTTGCAGCTTACTCAAAATTTTTAATACAAAGTCCAACCAACCACAAAGCACAGGACATGTAAATATAAGACTATTGAACAGGCCAAGTATGGTTTTTGCTTAATAGATTTCAGGATTCTTGAGGAGAGAGATTCTTTTATGTGACTCAGCTTTGATTTTCAACAATGCCTAGTCTAGGGCATTGCACAAAACAAGTTTAAATGCATTAAATTAAATGAAAGTTTTTAAGAAGTGGCTTATCATATATCCAAAACACAAACAAGGATGTAAGCCAATGTTACCTCAGTTGAAAAAACAAAAGTGGCTTATCTCTCTTGACAGAGATAGGAAGTGTTCAAAGTTAAATTTAAAAAGTTAATTGAAGATGGGTAGTGTTTAACTAAATGCCAGGAACTGTTTGTTCTAAGTACAATCAGGGAATGAGGTAGATTTTATTATCTCCTTCTTAAAGATTAAGGAATAGAGAGATTAAATAGATTAAAGCTAGCAAATGGTAGCTGTGGTAATTCACACCTAGGTTGTTAACATTTATAGTCCACGTTTACAACTGCATGCTACAATGTCAGTTAACACCACTGGTAAAGTTATAGCTTCCCTGACCTAAGGTATTCTACAGCTGAGATTCTGACTATCAGCCAATCATTTTATTGCTCCTGTTGAATTAAATAAATTTAGTGTATTAAACATTCCATCTTTGGAATTACACTCAATTTTGAACCATGGCTTTGACATAACTTGAATATGTAACCTTGTATGTTACTCAACTCCAAAATTCAGTTGCATCATCTATAAAATAAAGCTAATTATTCCTACCTCATAGAGTTGTGATTACATGTTTAAAGCATTCGGCACAATGCTCAGTACATAATAAAAACTCAATAAGTGAGATCTAAATGGTACATCTATTTTGTAAATAATATTTCACTGTATGGATACACACATTTATTCACTGTTGATATACATTTGGATTGTTACCAGAGTTTGACTCTGTAAATAAAGCTACTACGAACATCTTTATACAAGTCTTTGTATAGACTTATGCTCTAATTTTTCATGGTTAAATACCTAGTGTAGAATAAGAGATCCATGTTTCCATTTTTAAAAACTGTCAAAGTGCTTTCCAAAGTGGTTGTAGCATTTCACATTCCCATTAGCATAGTATAAGAATTCCAGTTTCTCCACATACTTACCAAAATTTGATATGGTGATTTTATGTACTTTGAGAAAGTTTTTATTGTGGTAAGAAAATTTAAAAGTTACCACCCTAACCATTTAAAAAAAAATATTAATCATTTGTAAGTGTATAGTTTTACATAGATTTACATTGCTGGGGCCTCCCTGGTGGCACAAGGGGTTAAGATGCAGCAATATGAAGTTGTCTGCAGCAACTGTAGCATGAGTTGGATCCCCAGCCTGGGGTTGACCCACATTGTGCAGCAGAGCTCTCCTGTCTTGCCCACTGCTCCCCTCAGCAGTGTATTTCAGTAGGTTTGCCTGTTCTGTTCCCCACTCTGTCTCTGGTGAATCCTCTCTTGCCCCCCCCCCTAAACCTCTGGCCTGTACCCCAGCTCTTGCATGCATAAATAAATAAATAAATCTTAAAAAAAATTTCTATTGCTGTGAAACAGATCTCCAGGACCTTTTTTGTCTTCTGTACTGAAATTCTATACTCATTAAACAACTTCCCTTTATTCCTTTCCCAGCCTCTGGCAATCACCGTTCTTTCTGTCTCTATGAACTTGACAACTTTAGATACTTTAGATACTGTCCTTTTGTGAACTGCATAGTTTCATTTAGTATAACGTCTACAAAATTCATCCATATTGTAGTAACATGTGATAGAATTTCCTTCCATTTTAAGGTGAAGTAGTACTTCATTATGTATGTGCATATGTGAATTTATACATACATACCACATTTTGTTTATCCATTCATTTGTTGACAGTGTGTTTCTACCTTTTGTCTATAATGAATAGTGTTGCTATGAGCATGGATGTACAGATCTTTCTTTGGGAATTTACTTTCAATTCTTGTGTACATATATCCAGAAGTGAGATCTAAATGTCCATTTTTAGGCCAGTACCTCACTGTTTTGATTACTATAGCTTTGTAACATATTTTAAAATCATATCTGTTAATTCTTCAATTTTGTTCTTTTCTAAATTGCTTTGACCTTTCAAGCATTAGATTGGATTGGATTGGATTTCATTTCATTTGAATTTGAGGATAATTTTTCTATTATTGCAAAAAATTCCATTGAAATTTGATAGGTTTTGTGTTGACTTTATATATCACTTTGAGTAATACAGGTGTTTTAACAACACCATAGCATTATATCCATAACAGATATCATTTCATTTCCTTGTGTCTTCTTTAATTTCTTCCAACAACGTTTTGACTGTACTAATGCAGTTCATTTTTGTTAATTTTGTATCCTGTAACTTTGCTGCATTCACTAATTAGTTCTAACACTTTATTTTGTGTTTGGATCTTTAGAAATTCTTACATATAAAGTTACATCGTCTGCACACAGAGGTAACTTCTTTCTTTCCATTTTGGATTCCTTTTATTTCTTATTTTTCTTGCCCATCTGCACTGGCTAGGACTTCCAATACCTCATTGGCAGTTGCTCCTTAGAGAACAGTAACTACCTTTTTGTCAAGTCATGGCAGTTGCTCCTCAGAGCCCTTTTATGCAACTTTGTATTTCTATTCAATACCACATTGAATAGAAGAGATGAAAGTGGGCATCCTTGTCCTGTGCCTGATCTTAGAGGGAAAATTTTTAGTCTTAAACCATTGAGTAAATTGTCAGTTGTGAACTTTTCATACATGATCTTTATTATTATGTTGAGGTAGTTTTCTTCTATTCCTACTTTGTTGAGTGTTTTCATCATGAAAATGAAATAGGGGCAGTCAGGGCAGGAGGCCAAATGGTAGGATAGGATGGGTACTCACCTGCCTGGGCTCTAAGACAAGAGAGCCACCAAAAAGTCCCAAAAGACCAAAAGACCAAAAACCAAAACCAAGGGCAATAGCAATAAAATATCCACAGAATAGAGGCCAATGGGCTATAGCCAAACAAAGGACAGTGCCCGATAAGAAGACAGGTCATTGTGGGTTCTCACCTGAACATAATTTTAAGAGATGTCAGGCTCAAGAAACAACAGCCATGGGGTTTATTTTACAAGTAGGGAAAACAAAGAGCTTACTGTAGCCACAAGTGGCTAGCTATCTCACCCAGATAGTGTCAGTGATGGTTGCCACAGGTCACCAGGAATGCTGGACAGCACTGGCCAGTAGTGATGGTCACTATGGTCCCTCAGAGGTGGTGTCAGAGACACCCAGTGTTATCAGCTCTTTGTGAGCTATTGTGCTATACCAACAACAAATAGCTCTTTGAGAAACTAGGCTCAGGGCCTTTGGTGCTCCTATTAGGTGGATAGGACCAGAGGCTCAGTCTCTGCAAAGGTCTTTGTCTTTTCTTCCCTCCTTGGAGGTTGGTTGCTGGATGCTTCTTTTCTTCCTTCTTCAGAGGCCAGGAGTGGAGTCTTCCCCTTCTTTCTTCTTTCTTCAGAGGCTGGGACTGTCTTCTTTCTTTCCTGTAAAGCTGGAACTGTTTGGAGGTTGGAGTTGTCTCTCCTCTTAGGGGGCTGGAACTGTCTCCCTCTCAGCTTCCTCCAATCCTGGCTTATATCCTCTTTCAGTGTGCTCCACCCACAAGTCTGATTGGACCATTTTCAATTCTTTGGTGGATTGAACCATTTAGTACCAGTTAGCTCATAGCTCACACCTAATTGGTCCATTCCAGGATCCAGGAAGTACACGGTTGCATAAAAGGGCTCTGAGGAGCAAGTGCCATGACTAACCAAAAGACAGTTGCTATTCTTTAAGGAGCAACTGCCACAGCTGACTTGTGGTGGAGCAGCAGGGTGAGAGAATACCACTGCTGCTGCCAGCTCCCACTGCTGAGGCGGCTGGATTCTGGTAACAAAAATATATCAAATACGCCTTCTACATCAGTTGAGATGATTATGTGCTTTTCCTCCTTCATTATGCTAATGTGATACAATTACACTGATTTATGTTCATATGTTAAACTGTCCTTGTATTCTGTGAATAAATTCAACATGGTTAGAGTGTAAATCCTTTTAATGTTAAACTCAGTTTGCTGGTATTTTGTTGAGGATTTTTACATCATGTTCATTAGGGATTTTGGAGTGTGTGTGTGTGTGTAATATCTTTGCCTGGCTTTGGTATCATTGTAATATCAACCTCATAGATGAACGTGCATAGGTTCTTCAATTTTTTGGAAGAGTTTGAGGAGGATTGGTGTTAATTCTTTAAATGTTCGGTAGAGTTGTTCAATGATGCCTTCTCATTTTGCACTTTTTCTTATTGGGAGGTTTTTGGTGTATGTATGCATATGATATGTATGTGTGTGTCTATATGTACTCTCTCTCTCTCTCTCTCTCTCTCTCTATATATATATATATATATATATATAAAAGAATTAAATATATATATTAATTCTTGTCCTCAAAAAGTTATAAAGGCTATACAGGATTTGGAAGTGAGACTGTATCAAACAATTGCCAAAGAAGAATCACCCATTCTTACTTTCTCTTTTGAAAGTCCTTCCACATACTGATATACCATGCCTCTGAGGCCTGGCTGTCCTTTGATATTCTGTGCCATGTTCTTTTTCTATTGACACTGTCCATTTTGTGTACCTCAATTCTCTCTGCTGCCAAATTGCATGTGTTGCTAGGGAAACTATTATGACAACATTACTAGGTTTTCCTCTTCATCTATGTCTCATAATGGAGCCCTTACCCAAGCAACTGTACACAATTCAGAGGTCTTTTAAGAACCAAACTGCTAACTACTTCAAACTCACATTTTGCAAACAATGAAATGTTTGGAATATGATCTTTGAAATATTATTTCTATTTTCTGATGTTGCAACTTAATCTTCAGTTTTACTGAAGCCAGTTTTAGTCTGAGCCAGGGACTTTTGATGACTAATTTAATCTCCTTACTAGACATTGGTATGTTTGCCCTTTTTTTTTCTTTTCATGATTTAGTCTTGGTAGATTGAGTATTTCTTGGAATGGAATCTTTCCATTTCTTGTAGTTTATCAAATTTGTTGTATACAATTGTTCATATTATTCTCTCATAATCCTCTTATATTTTTATGGCATCAGTTCTAAAACCCTGCCCCTTCTTTTCTGATTTTAGTTATTTGAGTCTTCTCAGTTCTTATTACTCTTTAATTCAAAGTAACATTGCATTATATATTTATAGGCTTCAGGTATACATCATTGAAATTTAGCATGTGTATATATGACACTAAATTCACCACTAAAAGTCCAACTTTATCAAGTCTTTTATTTTTTTCAGTTATCTATCCAAAAGATTTTTCAAATTTGTTGATCTTTTCCAAAAGCTAACTCTTAGATTTGTTGAGTTTTTTCTAATCTCAATTTCATTAATGTCTGCTCTAATCCTTGTTAATTCCTTAAGATGACGAGTGTTACATTATGTGTTTTTCATCACAATTAAAAATGGAAAAATAATTTACAGAGCAGATCAGTTTGCCTGGGGAAAGGAACAGGACTGTGTGATTATAAAAAATTATGAGGAAACTTTTGAACATACTGAATTTTTTTAATGTTGGTGATGGTTTCACATATACAAACACATGAAAACCCTTCAAGCTGTACCCTTTACATGTTATAGTTTATTGTGTGTCATTATAGTTCATAGTTTCAAATTTGTATTTTCTGAAACAAGTCACGTAATTAAATTTGCATACAAACAATATTCCAAGAGACTTATTTTTTTATGTGTAGGCCGTTCAAAATTCCTTAACTAAGAAATCGATATGAGTATATTTGTCTCCTATACTTTAACATTTCCACAGCTCTCCAATTTTGATCTGATCTGTTACAATTCTAAGTCCACTACTCTCAGTTTTTTTCAGAAGAGACAGCACAAACAAGGGATTGAAGTGCACAAAGAGATATGGTGATCAGTTTTCAAGTAGACTTACTGATCTGTTTTCAGAAAGATATTCATCCCATCTAAAGAGGTTGTATCTATGAAATGATACTGTTGTCTTAATTTTTTTACATAGATAGCATTTATCAGATTATTGCAGATAACTCATATGCTTAACTTTGGAGATTTATTTTTTAGGACCTTTATTTATCAACAATAAATCTATCGATGATGTTGTATTATTCCAGCTGGCTTTAAGATGTTACTTGTGTTGTTGAAATTATACAGATTAAACCACAGATGTTACGACTTTTATATTGCTGCTTAAAAAAGAACTAAAACCTCTCCTTATTAAAACAAATTGAAGTGCAGCATAAATATATCATTTATAATAGATGAAGGATGTTTTAAGATAGCCAGACCTGGATGCAATTTGGCATTTTTCTTTTTGATTTTTAATGCTTATCAGTGATTACACAGGCTCAATGTAATCAAAAGATTCTTCCCTATTTTTGCCTCCAGACCTAGAAATTCTCCCTTTTTCATCTAATTCATTTCATTTATATACACCACCTTATATCCACATAGCAATTCCAACACCATGTAGTGGCTTCATTTGCAATTTAAATGTTACTGGCTCCAATCATCTCTGTAGAAAGCTATGACTTCAGTATCATTTATTCAGCATTTTATTCAAAAGATATTTATTAACTCCAAAGTATGTGCCAGGGTTCTATACCAGAGACACAGCGGTGAATAAGAAACAGTCATTCTCACGGAATTTATAGTTTAATTGGAGCACAGATATTGAACAAGCAATTAGAAGATTGATGAGTGTTACAATAGAGGAAATGCAGGGTGTTTGCTATGGGGATATTTATTTTTCCTCTAGACTTGGGAGAAAAAATCACCAGGTTAAAAAATTACCGTTTTCCCCTAACTCTGCCTGGGAACACGAGGGAAAGTTTCCATATACAGAGTGTCTATATCAAGAAGTAGAAACAAGCCCCTAAGACTGATTTTTTTCTTCCTTTTAAGAAAGTGGAAACAGCAATAGACATCCTTCCAGTTTTCCTGCTGACGGGACAGGACTAGGCTTTTATAACCATTCTTTTAGTTTTCTCTTGGTGGATGCAGCTATTCTCCACATTTGACAACTTATCCTCACAACCCCTGTAAAAACAGCACTCCTGTTTTAAAAGAATAGTAAGGCAATTATTAGACAATATGCAAAAACTGGTTTCGTGAGAGTCTTGAGGAGTTTTTTTTCTTTTGTCTGAGATTTCTTGCAATTCCTGGGAGCGCTCAGAGAAAAGACACTGTTGACTTTAAGTCTATGACTACAACCCAGCCATATAGAAACAGTTTAGCCATGAAAACCATTTGGCTGATCTACAAGCAGAGTTAAGCTTGTCAGAGAGCAAGTAAATGAACAACCCAGGTAACTTCTGAAGGATTAGTGGGTCCAGCGTTAACCCAGTGTCAATAGCAGCAGAAGCAAAGAAAAAGAGGGTCACATCTGGTTAAAAATACAAAAGAGAGATAAGATGCTTTTCAAAAGGCTAACTTGGGATTATCTTTCAACTAGGTTTATGACAAACAGAAGATAGATGCCATGTTTACATGCAGAATTCTTTAGTATTTATGCCCAGCTTGGAATCCACATCCACTTGAATTCCTCTTTCTCCCTGTTATCTTAGTTCACAGGGGAGGAGAGAGGAATTTTGGTACCTGCCCCTCATACCTGCCCCCAACTTCCTCATATCCCTGGTGTGCAGAGGTAAATTTATAAGTCTAGTTCAACTTTTCCATCAAAAAGTTCTTTTGGCTGACAAAGACCGATAATGGTCCTGGCAGTAGACATGGATGGCCAGACAACACTTACACCTGAGAATCAACACCTTGTGGTAGATGGAGCCTGGAATCATAGGAAATACGCTGCATATTTGAGCGCTCCCTTTTTATTGTTTTTGAGTGGACCAGATAAGGCTGCATATCAAATCACTTGAGATATTTGTTCCAAGTAGATATTTCTGACTCAGTCCTTTAGATTCTGATTAGTGGTCTGGTGTGTGGATGGGGGTTGGGGAGGTGGGAGTAATTAAGAATGGGAGGGTAGGCTGAAATCCATTTTCTGAAAGCTTTGCTGGTGATTCTCTTGGGTTACCAGTCAAATTTTGTTCTAAAATTCTCAGTGATAACTTTAGGAGGCCACACATATACACTAGTTTTCACTCTCTAAAGGTTCTCAGTCAGTGTTGAAAGTACATTATTTGTTGCTCTTTCCTCCCCTCTCCTAAAGATTAATCTGAGTCAATCCCAGGGGAATCAATAACAACAACAACAACAACAACAACAACAACGATAACATCAATAATACCAACACTGATGACATGCCAGGCCTTGTCCTAAACACTTCATATTTCTCCATTTTACACATGAAGAAACTAAAGCACAGAGAAGTCAAGTAACTTACATATGCTAACACAGCTAGCAAATACTACCACTGGATTCAGGTTTGCTCAGGGGAACTTTCTGTCTGGAGAAACGCAAGTATCTTCCCTCTTAGGGTTGCAGTGTGGTCTTATAGAAAATAGCAAGACTTTTACATCAAACACTTATTAAAATTTGGGCTTAACTGTTCACTAGCTGTGTGATCTTGGGTGACCTTGCATAGCCTGACAAAGTGTCATATTTAGCATGAGCTTCTAGAACACCATAGATTCAATGACTTAACCAACAGAAACTAATTTTTCACAGATTTGGAGACTGGAAATCCAAGATCAAGTTTCCTGCCAATTCAGTTCTTGGTTTGCAGACCATCTTTCTGCTGTATCCTCACTTCGGGGCAGGAAGGGATGAAGGAGGAAGAGGTAGGGAGAGATAGCTCTGGTTTTTCCCACTTCCTAAAAGGGCACTGATACCATCATGGGACTCCACCCTAGTGGTTTCATCCATACTGTAGCGGCAGGAATGGGCACAGTGCAGATTTTCTATGATCTGAGCAGACTGGGTAAAGGAGAAGTCCTGGAGCCCTCAGTGGCTTTTGCAGGCTTTTATTGGAATTTTACTGGGTACACAGCAGGCAGGGGTTCCAGGGGGCTTCCCGGCCCCTAGCGAGCCTTCACTCTTTCTGGGGTCCCTGGTGTTCTCAGGTGGTCTTGTTCTCTGTTCCTCTCATGGTTCTGCTTCTCTGCTCTCCTGTTCGTTCTTCTCTACTGGTGTCCCCATGACGCCGGCCTTGTAAGCCCAGTCTTAGCCCAGGTGAATCCCATCTACATATACCCACACCCTACTCCAGGTGCCAGCCATCAGGCATGCATTCAGGACCACAGGGAGCATCAATCCTAATGGCGGGAAGGCAGAAAAGCCTGAAAATCACTTACTTACCCTACACATACCATAGTATTGTTTCTTCCATCCCTCTTTTTTTGTTTGATGGGCATTTTACTCCCTAAAGATGCCACCTTCATATATCACACTGGGGGTGGGGGCGGGGTAGGACTTCAACATTTGCATTTGGGTGAGGCACTTTCAATCTATGCATTAAGCTTCAGTTTCTGTATTTGTAAAACATATGCCACACCTATTTGTAAAGTTTGAGACTAATGTAAGGTTTTTATAAGGTCTTATCTCAGTTTCATAAAAAGCTAAATTATTTTAAAAAATGAATTGACTATAAATCAGCCACTATGGAATAAAACCTTGAGAACCATTAGCACTTAATGAATATCATGTCTTCAGAACTATGCTAAATGCACGTGTGCACTATTTTCATGGGCTCCTTTCCTAATCCCCTTAATGGTGTAGGCATTTTTATCACTATTTTATACACACAGAAACTGACAGATGAAATATTTTCCTAAAGTCATAGCTGGTAGGTGTCAGAGTCAGGAGTGGAACCACATTAAGTGATCTGAGAGCCTCTTTATTTAGACAGGAATGTATGAAATTTTTTAGTTAATTTTCACAAAGTCCAAATGAATAATTCTACCTAAGAGTTCTGGAGTTACAAGGTATGAGCCTCAAAAGGAGAGAATTCAATTCTTCCATCCTTATGGTGAACTTATTTGCTAACTGAGACCCACAGGTAGGTGGAATCAGGGAGATAGGATTCACCTGGGCTGAGACTGGGCATTTCAGGGCGGCATCACGGGACGCCAGGAGAAGCCAAGAGAGAAGCAGAAGCAGAGCTCACCGGAGAGCCCAGATAGAGTGAGGATTTGCTGGGGGCCGGGAGGCCTGACAGCCTCCTGGCCCCCCAGCACCCTTGCCTGCTGTGTACCAGGTAAATCCCAATAAAAGACCTGCAAAAGCCACTGAGGACTCTGACTCCTCCCTCACCCGGTCTGCATGGGATCAGAAAACCTGCACTGTGGCCTGTCCTGCCTTTACAATACTGTATTCTAGACTTAAAAAATTGTTGAGGATAGATGTTATACGGGATGTGCCAATCAAACTAAAAAAGGGATGGGAGAACAATACTATGTATTTATTTATGGTGGCAGTTTCACCAAGACATTAAAGATGCAGAGTGTTTTGTGTGTCAATCAATATCTAAATATCAATATCTAAAAAGATCAAAACAATCTAGGAGCCATAGTCTTTTTTTTTTTGGCCCCTTCCAAGCTCTACTCTAGGCATGTATTCCAAGGCCAACTTGGAGGTAGGAAATGTAGTTCTGAAATCTTTAGCCTCGGAAAAGCATTCTTTCTTAGCTCTGGAATTCTTTAGTATATGAGCTGTCACCCTGCCCCTAGTTTTCTGTCTCTGATTCATCAAAGGGTGTAGAAACATTTATGCTCTCTCCTCTGGAGAAATTTTTCTGTGAACTTTTCCACTTTCAGCCCAGTTTGTGGGCTGAACAACTTGGTGAAAGAGAGAAAGTTTTTAGGGAAATTGATTAACTGGGACTGAGCTTCTTAAGAAAATTTTTTGAATTAAAAATGTCAGTATTTTTAATATTTTAAAAATGTGTTGGTTATGAGATTCTTGGGAAAAATATAAAGGAATATTGAAACTGTCTTAAGAAACTGCAGTGTAATCACAAAACCACCCAACTGCTCTTTGAAACAAAGGCACTGACAGAAAAGCCTCTTTTCTAACATAACCAGAAAAATGAATAAAACCACTGAATCTCTGTTTGGCAGGATCCACATACTTGGCTGCCCAAGGTAACCACTGCAGGGGCTGGAGGTCAAGTCCGGGAGGTGCCACGGAGAAACCACACTATTCATCCAGCCATCTGGAGACAGTTAATCAATCATAAAGACAGAAAAATGAACAATGAGACTTCTAGAATTTAAAGAAGTTCACCCCAGGAATCTTGGCTCTGTTGATGCAGTGACCCCCTCGAGTTAATAATGGACAAACCACCCCATTAGCCCAAAGAAGATCAGCAAGATATTCAGGGTTCTGGCACAGCTGTGTTGGGCTACTTAAAAGAATAGGTCTCGGAGAAAGTTCTAGTAATGAACTGGAAACAAATAAGATTTTGTGATAATTACACAAGGATGGTTATTCGCAATAATTGTGGCAAAGCATCAGGAAAAAAAGAAAAATGTACATATCTATTGTCTTAACCTTGTTTCTGACTTTATCTTTCAACCTGTAATTTTAATTTGGTCCAGCTTTCCTCATCCACTCACTTTCAATTTTATTTAATCATTTCATAAATAACCTTAAATCCCTTAGCGAATTCTGAAGGTCACTAAATAATTAAACCTTTAAGACAATGACAGCAAGAAATTCTTTCTCTCTCAGCAAAGATTGGCTGACAGGTGGGTGATCTCAAGCCTCAAGTATTTGACTTCCCCCTTTGTTCAGCTCTCCTAGTAAGCTGCGGTGGGAGAGCAATCCACAATTAAGAGGACTATCCTCCCTCCTCTTCTGCCCCAAGCTTTGCATGTATAAGTTGAGCCTTTGGGGTTTTACACTTGCTAGCACTCTTTACAGATGATTAATATTATTACCTTTTTGATTGACAGCTTTGCAGTCAGTGTAACTAACTTGAGCCAAAAGATGAACTAGGGATTTTTGCAAACTCAAAATATGTTACTTTGGAGGAAAAAAAATAAAACAACAAAATTGAGCTTCCATAATTAACTTCAAAGGACAACTACCAGAACTGTATTCTTTCCCAAAGGTGAGAAAATTTTAAAAAATTGAAAAGAAATCTCAAAGGATTTTTGCCACTGTGAAATAGACAAAAAGTCCCTCCTGTTAAAATTTGAAGGTGATAAACTTTTCAAAAATCTTGCTGAGTGAATTAATGAGACCTGTTTTCATCAAGCATTCCCTGGTATGTTACAATTTAAGAAAGAAAAGGCTCCTTCTCCACCTCTCCCCTCCCCGCAGGAATAGCTGGTGTGGAGGCCTGGTCAGGGAGAGGGCTTGATCTCTTCTGAGAGCCTGGGTACAGGGAGTGCTCTGAGGCCCGCATGCTGATTGAGAACAAGCCCTCCCGACAAGCCCCCAAAAGAGGCACAGCCTGTGGGACAGAAGCGCAACCCTCCAAATTCACAGCTGCTACTAGTTTCCCAAACTGTTTTTAGAATCCACAGGGCTGGGAGTAGAATAGTTATGCTCACTTAGCGTGGTTCGGTTTTCAAATTTGGGAAGTGAGCCAAAGGCAAGTTTTCTCTCATAATTCTAGAGATGATATGTGCTGTCCAGAGATGTAAAGTTACAGACTCAGAGCTGGGCCTTTGGAGATCAGGTAGTGAATCCATCCATTTATTTTACAGACCAGGCAATGGAGGATCAAAAAGTTCAGCAACGTGCCCAAGGTCACATAGTTGATCTCTGATAGAGCTAGGACTGGAACCCTGTGTTTTCTTCTGACTCATTCCATAAACTAAGTAGGTAGATAGCACATTAAAATTGTCACATATAATTTGAAAAGATATAAAACAGATGTATTTTAATTACATGTAGTTTAAATGATAACATATATATATGTCATTTTTGGAGTTAGTGGGTTTGGAGTTTCTCCATGAGATGGAGACGTTAGTTATATTTATGACTCCATAGCTTTACCGTTGGGTCTGTGCTCTAGCAGTCTGATACCTGCTTGGATCTTATGCTTTGTGAGCTAGGCATTGATGCCTAAGGATCTTGGTTTCTATAGCTGGGTCAATGGTTATGCTTATTCCTTCTACCCCCACCTCTAGCTCTTGGCATTTTGGAGCCAGATTTCTGAGCTTGTGGTCTCTTTTCCTCCATCATATATACTATACATCTTAACCATTTTTACATGTATAGTTCAATGGTATTGAGTATATTCTTCATATTTTTATGCACTGTATATACATGAAAATGGGAAGGATCAGCTAGAAATACTTATCCATCAGTTATTGATAGATAATCAATATACACTGTTTGACCAATATCGTGCTAGGATCAAACCTCTGGGCTCTGAAGGAGCTTACAATTCATTTGGGTGAGAAGATAAGTAAATAGGAAGTTATAGCTAACAAGAAAACATAGTATGTGATATTTTATAGATGAATGATACTGACAAGAATCCCTAAGATAAAGTTGTTGTGGGACGAATACTCAGGAATCTTCAAAGAGAGAGTGGGCTTGAGCCACATGAAAGAGAAGTCCTAAGAGGAGTCCTGAGAGTGACCCACAGTGTGGGGGTGGACTGTAAAAGATTTTTTTAACAGAAAGTGGATAGAAAAGTTTGAATAGCAAAAGTGTAGATTGTTACTAGACTCAAATGAAAATTTTATCCTGAGGGCAATTAGAAGCCATTGAAGATCCTTATACAACATAGTTGCTATGTTAACAAGTGGATGCGATGACAAAGTGTAGGATGAGTAGGAGGAGGAAGAAATGGATGAGTAAGGCCAATTAGGAAGCTATTACAAAGGTTCAAATAAAGAGAAGTGGTGGTAAGGTTGGGAATGGGTAAGTCAAATGTGTGAAATATTGCAAAGGCAGAATCAATAGATAGCTTATTAATTAATTAAATATTAATTAACTAATTAGATACTGATAGTGGAAAAAAGAAGAGGCAAAAATCCTAGATTCAAACTGTAGTGATCAGAATTTTGTTACCAATGGAATATGGAAGGGAGAAGTTGAGGAAGGGAGATATTATTAAAGGAAAGTTAAATTTTAGATACACTGACATGGAAATGATAGACATCCAAACAGAAATGAGAAAGCTCTTGAAAGAATGTATGGATCTGCACAACTGTAAGATATTAGTCAAAAAATGTTTAAGAAATTTTTTTGGTTTTCATTTGTGTCTTTGGCCACTGCTTCAAAGGTACTGATCCCAACTAAACCAGTTGAAATGGGAATGATTAAGCTGATCACAAACTATGACACTTTTCTAAAGAAGTATAAAGATTGCAATTCTGAGAATCGTCGTATGGAAAATACATCTAAGAAGTTTAATATTGCTTTACATTAAGTGGTAGCTTTCAAGCATTGGAACAGGATGTTACTGCTCTGCAATAAATTTAGAAAAAAAGAGAAAATATTATATAAATTTTGTACTCACTAGTTTGGGGCAGAGAACATAAAGCGTTATTGTTTATAAGTCATTTAATTTGTTTATAAGTCATTTAATTTCTGACCTAGAAATTTTGATCCCCAGCAAAGGGAGCTTTGTTAACTATAGAATAAACAGGGATCTGTATATGACCTCCTTTCTCTGGCTGCAAGCTAGACTAACCCAGCGGGTACAGTGTTAGAATAAAAAGTCAAGTGGGAACTCTCAGTGCATGGGTGACTTCTGTTTTTTCTATGATTTGGGGTGTAAGTCAACCGTTAGCTTTGGAACATCTTTTGTCTATCTTTAAGTGTTTCTTCTCTGGCTGTTCAGATTCCTCCTAGAGTGCATTTCGATTCTCTCCCTGTGGAAGAAAAATTGCTGGCCGCTGGGACATAAAGAGAGGAAGCTGGGGTGTCAGCTGCAGGTTGCACACTCAGTTTCCCTTGTTTGGGATATAGTTCCCTTACCTTGACTTGATTCTTTAGTCCAGAATGCTCTTAACTTTGGCTGGTATCCGGGACAGCCAGTTACCCAGTTGTGTAAGGAGGGTCAAGGAATTGAGGGATCTAATTACTTTTCAACCAGTTCTTTTTATCTTCTTCTCCACCCTACTTCTCTTCCAAGGTAACAGGTGCTTGCAATTCCTAGGCTTTAGGCTGTCGCGTCGGAGGACATTAGATGGACTCTCCCACTGCCCCCACTGCTGACTTAGGGCAGGCTTTTTCAGATTTGCAAAGTCAATTTCCACCCGACCCTTTACTTACCTGTCTGAAAAACATTACCACTGTCATCCTTTCGTAGTGGCCTTTGGTCTTAAATCTCTTTGGTATAGTTTGAGTGCAGTTTTGCAAAGAAAATTAGATGGTGTTTTCTTTTTTTTTTTTGTGGGACCCTCGCCGGTGGCCAGGGAACGAATCAGCACTGCAGAGGCTGTGGAGGCTGCAGCCTCACAGACCAGTGCGCAAAACGCTGTGCCACCAGGGGAGGCCCTAGATGGTGTTTTCTTAAAATCCATCTATATATGAAAGCCACTGCAATTGAATTTTTAACTATAAAGAGTTTAAGTATTGGGCTTTTGATGTTTCTGATAATATTTTATAAAAATCTATGATCCTATCACTCAGTGTTAACAAAGCTATTATGTTAGCTTGAGTAAGTCCTAACCCTATTTCAAGAAAAATGAAATCTATAGATTCCAGCACTTGTACATTTGATTATATTACTTAAATGTGTATAAATAAAAGTAGATTATTTATGATTACGTATATAAGCAAATACAGAAAATCCTAACTTAATACAACAAAATCACTTACTTTGTTAAAATTAACAGCATAAACTGCACAACGGCTGTTATAGTAATAGGATTAATTTTCTTCTCTAAATGTACTTATGGTATTATTGTTGTGCTGTAGTTTCTCTTTATGTCCACCATCCACATGCTACCACATGTTGCTTGAGAAAGAGATTCACCTATTTCTGAATGAGAAATAGAGGAAAAACTTGTTACAGATAGCAAAGCTGTTATCAGTCTCCCTTGGCAAGAACGCAGTTGTAATTTTGTAAAATAAAACAGTTGGGTTTATTAAAATGATCGATACTTAAAATTATCCTTCTAACACCAATGCACTGTCAAATATTTTGCCTTCTACTGTGATGGAACCTGTTTTGCAACCATCCCAGGCCAGGTAGATTTGCTGTCAATTGTAGCAATTTGAAGGAGAATTTTAGAGGCCTTGGCATCATCTTCACAGGCTTTGGTGGTAAGCAGAGGGATCAAACCAGCAGGGAGACAGCAACTTGAGCCCCTTTTCTACCCTCCCTCCTAGCACCGGTGTGTTCCACTTGAACATGCTCATACACCCAGGCTCAGATGTCCATAATCAGGCACCCCACACCCACACGCTTTCTACTTATCAAGTTCGAAGCCGCAGGTGACAGCCCCAAGGCCAATTGCATAAAAAGCCTAATCAACTTCATTTACCCTGCGGAACTCTTGGGAGCTTCCTCAGGTCCATTTGGTTGGAGAGACCCACCAATCACCAAGAGGCACTGAGGGTATATGGGAGGCCCTACAGATAATTCTTCAGGAAAAGAAGTCTATGGGGGCCTCCCTGGTGGTGCAAGGGGTTAATTTGCAGCACTATGAAGCTATCCGCAGCCACTGCAGCATGGCATGAGTTCGATTCCTGGCCACCCAGGGAGGTGACCCACATGGCACAGCAGACCTCTTTTGTCTTGCCTGCTGTTCCCCTCAGCAGTGTATCTCAGTAGATCTTCCTGTTCTGTTTCCCACTCTGTCTTGGTGAATCCTCTCACCCCCTGCACCTCTGACCTGTACCTCAGCTCTTGTATGCATAAATAGATAAATCTTTAAAAAAAAAAAAGTCCACGGACCCCATAGTGCCCCTAACAGGATGGGGAAATAGATGGCGCAATGCATCTTTTAAAAATGGTAAGAACACAACG